GTGTGTGTGTGTGTGTGTGTGTGTGTGTGTGTGTGTGTGTGTGTGTGCGTGTGTGTGTGTGTGTGCGTGCGTGCGCGCTTGCGCTTGCGCTTGCGCCTGCTGCCCCCTGCAGGTGACGACAGAGATCAGCGTGGAGAGTAAGCACCAGACACTTCAGAGCCTCGCTTTCCCACTGCAGGAAACAGCCAAAAGAGCCCTGCAGCAACTTGCCCAGAAACGCATCAACTACATACAACTGGTGAGCCGAAGGAGTTTGATATAAGACTGGGCTTTCTCCCAAAAATGTTAGAGACGTTGTTACAATCCGTGTTGATATATTAAGCTGCTGATGTTTTACTTTGAGAGAAAAGCATCCTGTATTCTGTGCATTATTACTGTGTTTCAGAGGTTGGATGTAGAGAAGGAGACCATCGAGCTGGTCCACTCCAACCCGACAGACACTCGTGATTTGCCCCGCAGAGTTCCCACAGACACTCCTAGATACCACTTCTTCCTTTACAAGCACTCGCATGAAGGAGACTACCTGGAATCTGTCGGTATGTCCCCAATTCCTTGTACTTTGATAGTCGTCTGCGTTTCTCATCTGTACAAGATGTGCACAGGCACGCATCACACATATTTGCAGCTGCAATGCAGATGCTGAGAGAAAGAGAGCAATAGTGCATGCCAAATCATCTACATTGGTGGTTTCTATTGTGACCCCTTAAAACGAAACATTACTACTTTTCAAAGTAAATAAACACATATTAAATGAAATGACTGTCTATTCATATTCATCAACATAAATCCCATTAGTTTATGACTGTATGAGTATAATTGTTAAACCTGTTCAAGATAGGCATATCGTTTGTTTTCATGGACGGCCGAATGGTGAGTCACCTTAAATGTTTCCGCCGCAAGGAATTGTGGGGCGGAATTATCTACTTTCCTTTGGTAAAGGCAGTTCCAGTGTTTCCTTTGCTAAAGGAGCTAATAAAGGACGCATTGAAGCCCCTTTCCTGAGCATTTAGAGAATTAGAACAGCTCTTATCATGGCGGCCACTTAGATACTTCCGGGTCATTTCACTCAGTTAGGAACCTTCCTAAGCAAAAAGGACTTCTGACCGCAGCCCTGGTCCATGTGCTCACTGTCTCTCCTTCTCCTCCTACAGCTGATGTCCACCCTGCACCACCTCCAGCACGCAACAGCACATGTGACACACATCCATGCACTGCTTTCATTTGCTGACATTGCTGATCTACACACTCCATTGTTCATTTGAGTTAAACATACTTTAATAAGTTGAGTTTCATTTTAAGTTCAACCCTGCGTGGACTCCCTGTTTGTCACATTCCCCGAGCCAGTTTGTGCCACTTGTCAACAGGGTTTTCAGTCCAACCAAACACTGATTTTACTTTTGTAATTGTTTCATTTGAAGAATTTGTAAAGGCCTGAAAGCGACTGTGGCTCAGTGGTAGTGCAGGGTCGTCCTTCAATCGGAGGATCGTCGATTTGATCCATCTCGATGTGTCCTTGGGCCAGATACTTAACCCCAAACTGCTCCCGCCATGTATGAATGATTAGATAGTTCTGATGGGCATGCTACCTTGCATGTAGCCCTTGCCATCAGTTGGACGTAAATGAGCGAACTATGACATGTAGTGTTAAAGCACTTTGAGTGCTCGGAAGACAAGCGCAATACAAGTACAAGTCCATTTACCACGAAGAGGTGAAAGTATCCAATATGTCACAAGAAAAAAAAGCTAAATTTAGAAGAAAAAACACTTTTTAATGTGACAGAAATGTATGTTTTCCCTTTTTTTTTTAAACTCATTTAATCATCTAGACACCCTCCAGATCAGTCTTTGGGCCTCTTTGGGGGGTTTTGTCCCCAGATTTTAAACCACTACATAAACATAAAATATTTACTTATAATGCTGAATCGTCTTCTTCTCCTCCCCTGTCTGCAGTGTTCATATACTCCATGCCTGGATACAGCTGTAGCATTAAGGAGCGGATGTTGTATTCCAGCTGCAAGAGTCGACTACTGGAGGATGTGGAGAAAGATTACTATTTGGAAATTGCTAAAAAGGTAATGGAAGGCTAGGAAATAACACAACACAGTTTGATAAAGGATTGTAGCTGCCAGTGAGAACACTGAAGTCACATTCGCTGTTTATTTTTATTTTAGAGGCGGATTTCTGTGTTATTTGACTCAATATATTTAAATTTGACTCAGCATTTCTAATATCCAGGTTGTATGCACAACCTCAAGCTGACTAATATATGTTGTTTATGTTCAGCCCAAAATCCAAGCACTACGTTTCATTCACCTATATTTTTTACATCTATGTGCAGTTGGAGATTGATAACGGAGATGAACTGACAGATGAGTTTCTGTATGACGAGGTCCATCCCAAGCAGCATGCTCACAAACAGGCCTTCGCTAAGCCCCGCGGCCCAGCAGGAAAAAGGGGACATAAGCGCCTCATTAAAGGGACAGGAGCGACCCTACAGGACAGCTAGAGGGGGACACATCGCTCCCAGAGTCGAGTCTGCAGTTCCAGCCCTCCCTATTTCCCCAGACCCACTAACACCTCGTCAGGCACAGAGCAACGAGCACAGTGACGGGTGTCTTCTGTTGTTTGTGTACTGAAACCCTTGTGCTGTATAACTAATGTGTTTTTGATGGAAAATATGCTGATAAATTATCTGACTCTCCCACAGACAAATCAAGTCTTACATACAAACATTTATATATATATATATATACATACAACATTTTATTGATAACTTCCTCAATTAAAAAACAAAAAAGAGTCGGGCTGGAGGACTGGCAGATGGCGTTGTTATTGTGAAGCTAATTTGTTTCTTCCATACTTATAAAAAAATAGGTCTGCAGTTTACAATATAATAGATGTGTAATGAATTGTACATGCTTAGTCAGACGTTTCAGTCCTCATGTCTGGCCTTCAATACAAGTTTTGTGTTTGTAAGGCAATATGAAAGGAAATTCCAAATAAATTCTGTTTACACTGTGGTATTAGACGTTCTTGGTCGAGATTTGTGTGTTTTTATCAAGCATGCAATGTTTAATGCATGGAAATACTTCATGTTACATGTCTGTAAATGTGCTACATGGTTAGGGGGAACTTATTTAGTGTTGTTGGCCTGTTATGTTGAGATAAACATGGGGTAATAATTAAATTGTGGTTTTAAACTAGACCAACATACATTCAGGCATCCACACGACAACCGCCTCTTGTCACGGCAGTGAGGTTGCAGTGTTTGAAAGACTGCACTGTGTTGATTTAACTGCATGGAAATCAATTCAGCAGGAGTTCTGGCAACTGTAGCATCAGGCTACAGAGCAAGTACACGTGCAATCAACAAACAACAAATCAAGACTCTTAGTTCACTTCCCATAACTGGTAACAGCTCTCTGCAGAACCACTTTTTTTTTTTTTGCTTTGGAGGTCAGCTCAGCTGTTGGATCAGTGTGTGTGTACATATTTTAAACTTCTTCCACATGCCTCTGCAAAGCCTGCTAGGAACAAGGTCGCTTTCTTAGACTGATACTAACTATGTGCACACACAGGACCGCTCTCTCTTCGTCCCTTTCTCAACTAATTGGCCATAAGTCTGGGTTGACAAAAAAAATCTTAAACTGATTAGTTGCATTCATCGTCCCAATAAAAAAATTGGGAATGGTAGTGCTCAGTCATTACTGAACCAAAACTAATAGTCCACAGCCAGGGTTGCAGATCCGTGAGACAATGACAATGCTATGGTGATGTTTAGCAGGGTTAATATTCACTGTGTTAACACTCTTAGTTTAGCTAACATTTGTTAATTATCATTAAACACAAAGTGCAACAGGCAGCAGTACAGCATGATGGGGATGAAATCTATTTTGCAGGGATTTGGTCATAAACAAAGTTCTGAATGAAGTAAAATGTTGACCTGATGGTGGTGCTGTATGAAAAGTCCGGGATCACCAAAGCCATATTTATGCTCTGGGGACAGTTAATTTCTGTACTAACTACTAGATATTTCAGTCTAGACCAAAACAGCAGACCAACTCACCTAGTATGGAAAAGGTCGGTCACATTTTCAACATCATGCGTTATGCAACACCGCATTGATCTGCAAATTAAATCAACTAACTACTTGTTGAAATTGTTTAGGTTGACAAAGACTTTCTTTGGTGGAGGAGAGCCTTACTCTTGTTCCCTTTGAACAAAGTGCTACTCATCAACAAAGCTAATTTATGTTGCTAGTTTCAGGCAATTGAAGCTTTACTCAGAATCCTCTGGAAAACACCCATTTTCTTTCATCCAAGTTGAAAGAGTCCAACAGTGATGCATTGTCCCCACACATCAATCCACTTACCAATTCTTGGTATGTAGTGTTTTCACAAAAGGAAAACAAGTACAGGATCAGTATGTGGGTGGGAGTTTGTGTGTGGGGGGGTTGAGAGGCATTGTGCTGCAATCCAGCGTATAATGGAAATGAACAGGTTCGCCACAGCTGAAAATTGTTATTAATTAATAATATTCAAAAATGTATACTTTGAAGTTTAAGTGTTTTCTGTTACAAAAAAAACGTGAAGGTATTTTACTGTAATATACGAACAATGGCTCGACTATGTTAATAATGGAAACAAAACTACCAATCTGGTGGGGAATTACTAGATTTTGCAAAAAAATTACAATAATAACTTGTTATAGGAAAAATAATAATATAGCTTATCTGTAGGCTATACATTCTGCCACTTGAGAATGTGTGTTTTTAGTTACAAGAGATGTCCACTGGTTATAGGTGCATGTTAGGAGAAGATCTAGTTGTTATACTACTTCTGCATTGATACACAATATGTACATGTTGCTGTACCTGAACACAGAGGACACGAACCAAATAAATGCCGTCTACTCCACACTTTTTCCAGAGACCTTGTCTGGCTTGCAGAGAAAGCAGTGACTTTGTAATCAAGATGGAAAAAAGCAAAATCACTAATATTTACTGTAAAACTCACAACAGTAAAAGGCAAGACCAGCAACAAACCTTTGGATAAACATCATAAAGCCCATGGGGCTTATTTAAGGAATTGTGGACACTAATCATCAGATAAAAGCTGTTATAATAAAAAACAATCAATGTCATGACTGCCTTTGTGTAGTTCTCAGTAGTGTAACACAGTTAAAAATACAAATCTCAGAATGGAGTTTGTTTTGCACACCAATTTAATTTTGTAATAAAGCCAAACATGTTCTCATTGACATCAAGCAAATCTCATAATGACATTAAGCTCAGCACACAAAGCTTTTTCATGCAAGTGGGAAATGCAGTTCAGAGTAGTTCCCAAAAGTCTAAACAAGAGCTGAAAGGATTTCTCAATTAGTCAACTAGCTCATCAACAAATAATAAATTAGCATTACTATGATGATCATTTGATCATTTAAGTCATTTTTAGGGCAAAACCGGCAAAAATGTTCACTGGTTCCTATTTAACAGATGTGAATATGTACTGCTTGATCGGACAAAATAAGACACTCTGGGCTCTGGGAACTTGTGACGGCCGTTTTCTTCTGCCGAGTAATCGATTACTAAAGAAAATGAAATTGTAATGAAAATAATCATTAGATACAGCCTTAGTCCAAATACTTTGGATTATCCACGGATACAATTGACCATGGGTTTGGATTAGTGTGTGCAGAATCTTCTTTTCTCGGATGTTTTTGGCCTTCTTTCACATCGATTTGCTGTAAACACAAGGATCTTACAAATGTATAATTATACTGATATGACCTCAGTGGGGACATGGAGCTATACGGTTCATAAAGTAGGCTATGCTCCTTTTCATCTTCAAGTTCTTGGTAATTTCCCTGCCTTCCTCATAAAATGTTCTTCAGTAACCAAACTGTCACACCATCTGCAGATGGGCTCACGCAGCCCGGGACCCCCACTACCTCGGACTCTTACACCCTCAGGACAATAAGTTACAGTTACACATCCTTGCACTACTCTACTCTTTAAATACACACTTGTCACTAACGTACTTGTCTTAACGTATACTATTCATTTGTTTGTTTGTTTATCATATTTTATTGTAAATCTTTATATACATATATATATATTTTTTTTTTTTAAATTATGTCTTTTACTAGTGCACAAATCTATTGTATGTGTAACACTTTGCAGGAAACCGTCCCTTCTCTCTTGGCAAAACTACATTTTCATAATTCATTATCCACGTCTAGACAACATTCAGTTGGAAATGTTGACACTACATCATGCATTCAAACACCACATTCAAAGAATCTTTTATGAGGAATTCATTTCTTTAAATATGGTTTCTCCCCTGTCTGTCAGTTCCTGTTGCAATGTGCTACATGTGATTGTTGTAAACTGACTGTGCATGCTGCAAGTTGCTCAGGTTTAGCAAAAGAGATAACCTCGTTTATATAAAGGTGTGGGGCTCACAAAACATATTTGTTCAACTGCATCCGGCAGAGATAAATAAAAGTCCTCATGACTTCCGAGGAAAAAAAGCCACATTCTAGGATTTCTTGGAAAATGTTTTGGCTATTCTGGATCAGTAGGTTCCCATATGGCTGTGATTACGATACAGAATAGTTTCTTTGAATCCAATCACGTGTGTGTATCTGCCTTCGTTGGTTTGCAGCCTTGGTTTATACTTGCGTGTGTTTGTGAGGTGGCTCAGACTACAGTTGTATTTTAAAAACTGGAAAAACAATATGGTGTAAATCAAGTCTCAGTATTATGCTCAGCAGCCTTTATTTTGCCTGCAATTTAAAGAAAAGATAAGATATATATATATTCCCTAGATAGATTCCCTATACGTCAGGAGAGATTAGAACATAAATACGATTTTGCACTCTGAACCTCAGACAATACTAACGTTAATAAATCGTGAAGAACAAATCGACAGCAACATGACATTTTCTGTGGCTTAACAATAGAGTTAACCCGTTTTCTAGTTTATTGTCACAATAACAACTTGTTTTCTCGAGCGTAATTATCTCTGACAAACCTCCGAGAAAACCTCTCGCCGTGTTTTCCACCAAGGTCGAGGGAAATCTATATTACTGGAAACAGCCTGTGTGCATTCCTATTGTCTTTAATGTTGAGGCGGTGAATTCCCAGAAAGAAGGCTCTGTCGGGGCCGCCCGGCGGGGCGGAGTCAAGCCCTGCAATTATTCCTGGAAAGCAGATAGGGAGAAGCTGCCGCGCGATTCCTGGGAGCGAGCGCCGGTTCAGCGAAGGCAGGAGCCTGCGGGAGAGACGGGTCTCCAGAAAAAAACAAAAAACAAAAAACGAGCAGACAAAACATGACGGTGCTCCGCGCGGCTTGATCCTGGGAATTGAGCGTAAAAAAAAAAAGCAAAATCCGTTTAATCAGCAAACACGCAGAAAGCAGTCGCCGTCCTTCACATGAGCGAGACAACCGGCGGTGGCCGGTGCGGAATGGGAGTTGGTGCGGCCGGTGTGACGTCAGAGCCGCCGGTGCTGTTCTCAGAATAGACTTCTAGGAAACGGCAATTTTTAAAAGCCGAGCTTTTACACTCTGCCCTCCACGCACTTCGATCCCATTCTGGTGACAACACACTCCAACCCGCTGCTACGGAGATTTTTTTAATGTTTATGATGAAATTCATTGTTTTCATTTTTTAACTGAACGTTTTCTATCCAAGTGGTTTTTTTGTATCCGGTGTTTTTATATAAACTACAGGAACAAACCCGTACCGGATACACGGTGCTCTTTTATTGTCCCACTCGTATCTCACCGATGGTAACGCTCATTTTCTCGCTAAATTGTTTTTTATTTCTTTAGAGCCCAGTCTCTATATGTTTTGCTTAATTTTTGAAGGAGAAATACTGACCGGATCGTAGCCCACAGGATTCAAGAAATAGTATGATTCTTTGTGTACCAGGGTGAGTTGACTTTTCTTTGTTTCTGCGTGTTCTCTTTCATTACGTATCACAAAACCATTGTATCTGTTAAAGTAATGCAATCTTAATTAGTGTTAATTTATCGTTAAAGTCTTTCAATTAGATTCTTGATTATACATGTTTTTCTCAGGGTGAGGTCTCTAAATCGAGTCTAACAAATCTAAAGACAAAGGTCTTTTTCACTGATGAAAAAAATCAATCAGAAACTTCTTCATACTAATAAAAGTAATTATTGTGTACTTTTTGTATTTAATCTTCATTTAAGCCTGACTGTGGTCAAATTGTTCATTTAAAGTGTCTTTGCCATCAGTAAAAGACAAAACACAAGTAACACAAAATATGACACAAAATCTGTATAAAATAAAAATGTGATTATAAAATTGTAAATAAGACCAAATATCCACTTTGTGTGGTTCTCAATTTTAAAGTGGATAGTGAAGTGAATGTCTTCCTCTTCTCCTAATTTAGCAATAAACACTGAACTGCTATGATGTGGATCTTGCATTAATATGGACGAGGAAAACCTGCTGTAACATGTTTTTAAAACCATATTTTCCATTTGATTTTCAGTCCGAGAGCTTGTCTGTCCGATGATCCGTCCACTGAAACCCCACGGGGTATGCGGGCAGAAACTGTACCTTCCACCCCATGCCTTCACATTCACAGCACCCCTGCACTATGGGACCCCACAAAGGACCTGCGGGCAATCGCAAGCAACTTCTGCTATCTAGAAAATTCAGGTACAGTAAAAAAAAATAAATAATTGTTTTACATTTACATCCACGAATACAATTCTTGAAAATTCACAAACTGTTCCAGGGACTGTTTGGCACATTTTATCTTCTGCTGTAAAGAGATTTGGTTAAATGGCTTAATGGTGGACTGTTAACTGTAAAATAAAGAGCTGTACAGGACAAGTGAAAAGAACAAACTGTTCAGAGTGACTAACATTTAGGAATCTGTGTGTGTAGGATGGTACTGGGGAGCTGTAACTGCAGCTCAGGCCCACGCTGCACTTCAAGAGGCATCTGAAGGAGCGTTCCTGGTGCGAGACAGCAGCCACCCTCTGTACATGCTGACCCTCTCGGTCAGGACTGTGCGTGGTCCCACCAGTATACGGATCCAGTACAGCTGCGCCCAGTTTTTGCTCGACTCCTGCTCCCCAGCCCGGCCCAGCCTGTCGTCCTTCCCCAACGTGCCCAGCCTGGTGCAGCACTACATGGGACCAGAGAGGAAAGCAGAGGAGGGGAAGGTGTTTGAGGACACGCCTTCAAAACCCTCTCAGCAGACAATTCAGGAGACATCTGTGGTGTTAAAACTGAAGCGGGCTGTGTTCAAGCCCCAGGGTCTGCCCTCTTTACAGCACCTCACACGCCTCGTTATTAACAGGAACTCGGACTGCCCCGACCAGCTACCACTCCCGAGGCCTCTGCTGAGCTACATACAGGACTATCCCTTCAAGGTATAAACGGTCTCTCAAGTCTATTATTACGACATAAAGGAAAAAAAAAAACTGTCAAACAGGTCCTGTCCTACAAAGACTGCTGCGCAAGCAGTTGGAGGCCAGTCCCGTAAATTCTAGACACAGGTCAAGTCTTTGCTGAAGAAATGTGCACAAGTTCAGTTAATACTGACGCGGCTGGTTTCAGACTTGATTTGTCGAGGACCGAGTGACTAAGTACCAGAAAAGAAGACGACATGTGAGCAAGCCTCAGTACTGTAATCCTTTATTTCATGATGGATGTGGAAATTGTCCATACCTGTATTACCATAATCAGTTTTGGAAGTACATACTGTTCCTCAGAAGTACACTAATTCCATTGAGACATCTTTTATGCCATTTTATTTTTCTCAGTAAAACATTTTTTCTACCTTTCACATGTGTAGATTTTTCTATTAAAATAACTGATTGGAGTCAAACGTGCTGTATTTAAAATGATTTTCTCTTTTCAACTGGAAGTATTACTCACAGGATAAACAGAAGTACTATTCATCATCATCGTCTTTATTTACCGGCACATGATGACTTGCTCTTGTGACACTTGTTACGAAATATTTTCTGCTTCAAATCACCTTTGAAACACAAAGACTTTGAGCTTTAAGTGTGCAAGAGATGCGGATTGTGTGAGGAAGTAAAGGCCACATTGTGTGTGTGTGTGTGTGTGTGGGTGTGGGTGTGTGTTTTTGCTCAACAATGCGTGCAGCCTGCATCTGACTCAGCGAGTGGACGAGCGAAGGGGAGGACCGTTCATCAGTGGATTCACAGAACTGCTGAATGCTTCCTGGGAGGAGGGTGAGATTCTGAGAGAGAGGGTTCTAAGAAAAGCCTCGGTAATTACCTTCAGCTTTCAGCCTGCTTCTGTGCCACCTCGCACACAGTTTTTATTGTGGCACAGGATGTGGTCACAAATGTTGCAGATTAAAAGTGCAGCAGTGACATGAAAACGATTTGAGCCTCTGCAAATGGTGCATTTTGAGTAATGACATCGGTGCGAGTGCGTGCTCGGCGGCTCAGTGGGGGCGGGGGAGCTGAGGCTGTGGTGACCTGGGCTAAAGCCAGCGTAATAGGATCTCAGTTTCTCAATCCAGCTCCAGCTTGTGGTCCGTGTTAGACGTCTCTTTCCGAAGGATGCAAAATCGTGGCCTAAGAAACAAAAAACAAACACACTCCGAATTTGGGCATGAAATGCAAAACCAGCACAAAGCCGTTGTGTCAACAGTGATGTGGAGCACTTTGGCATAAAGGTAGGTTAAATGATGACAAACTGATTAAATGACGCTATGGTGGAAGACATAAAGGCCGAGATGCTCTCTTGACAGACCTGCCGGTGATGTCGTGCCGTGTCTCCACATAACGCATCTCTTCCACATTCGCCTCCACCCATCGGCGAATGAGCGGGGGGTGTCTGGGATCCACCTCCAAGTAAACACGTCTGTTATTCACCAGAAAGAGAGCACATAATGAATTAAAATGTATTATGAACAGGACAGAATTAATTGAAGCAACGGTGGCGTGTCACTGGAACTGTTTTCACGGGAAGTCTTTTAAAAAGCCAAACCCATTAAGGAGGCAACGTGATACGTGTATTTTTCTCATTCTTGTGACAAGACGCAGCCAGTGGGAATTAAACCCAGGTGTGTGTGTGTGTGTGTGTGTGTGTGTGTGTGTGTGTGTGTGTTGGGCAGTGGAGTTTCTCACCCATGATTTGATAGAATCTGAGGAGCCAGAGTCAAAATCTGTTTGATTACTTTCAGGCCATCTTTACCTCCATCTAAAGCAGCATGGTCTTCAAACCTGGGCCCACAGAAATCCATAAATCGCTTAAATACATCCATTTGATGTCACATATTTCTAAAAAAAAAAAAAAAAAAAAATACATTCCTAAAGGAAACCTAATGCACGGATGAAAATTGATTTAGGATATTTAATGCATTTTCAAAAAGGTCTGACATCAAATTTACCACATACAATTTCGCTTAAAATTTTTTTTTTTTTAAATGAATGAGTAAGCTGATTGTGTTTTAGTCACCGAAATATTTCAGGTTCCAACGTGGTCATATCCTCTGAGAACAGGTACGGGGGATTACTGACCAAAGTTGAGACATGGCGACAAAGGCTTAACACAGTTTCTGCATCTGCCAAAACACAAAACACAACTTTTTTTTACCAGCAATCTGTTGAGGTGCATTTTGCAGACTACCTGCAAAGCATTGCTTTCACTTACCTTTCATTACGTCTAAATGATGGACCTGTAATCTGTCCTGAAGCCCCAACCTACAGAAAAAAAAATCCTTCATCTTTAACCACAATAAAAGTAAATCAATAAGCACATTTACAACTTGCTCACGTGTGCTATGTTACACTTACCTTAACGCATTCTCTCCTGTTAAATCCACCGCATCCTGGCTTTGATCCAGAGCAATAACTTTAAGCTTGTGAAAGAGAAACAAACACGGCAATTAAAAGTGATGTTTACCGTTTGGAAACAACTTCCCCAGGGAAAATAATCTATTTCTCTACAAGACAGTTTTACAATCTGTTAACAGTGTAGCAAGAACAATAAACAGACACAGCTAAACTCAGGATTCAAAGAAAGGGGGGGCTTAGCCCCAAGGGGAATGGCAATTTTTTTTGGGGCCCATTTGGGGCCGTGGATATCCATTGTTTCAGACAGTTCATAGATTGGTTCAATCAGAAAGAGTGTGATTTTGCTTTGTAGTTTTGCTTGCATTCAGTATATGATAACACAAGAGACAGAATTTGAGGGTCATAGTGAAATTTGACAACACAAATATGAACTTTTCTCAAATAAAGAATATCCGCGTCACTCCCAAATCCTAATTCTTAAAGGGACCGCACACAATGGATGGAGAATGGACCTGACAGTGTCAACTTTATATCGTTAAGTATGATGATAGGCTATTGGATTGTAATTTGAAGGGGGAGAAAACATACAAACCAGAACGCACACACATATGTAGCATGTTAGAGTTATAAATAACTTGTCCATGTGAGAAACAATAGTTTAATTTAATGACATCACCAAAATAAAAATAAAAATATATATATATATATATATATTTTTTTTTAAAGCCAATAATGCCTATAATAATGCTTATAATAATGCCTATTTGAGGGGGGCTTCAGCCTAACGACTTCAGGGCTTCAGGCCTAACGACGCCCCTGGCTAAACTTATGACAGGATGGTAGAAAGCTGTTTGGTTCAGCTGTGAGAGGAAACTACTGCACTTTCAGAGGGGAAGACAACAGTGTATTCTACTGCAAAGCTCTTTTCTTAGCCATGTGTATCTATTCTACAGCTGTTTTCCTTTTCAATTAACCTACTGATTTTTAAATCATACTATAAAAATATTCTATTACGCAATACATTATTTAGTCTGTAAAATGTCAAAATTGACAAAGCCTAAAACCCTCAGTGTTAAGTATTATCTTATAAGATAGGAAACTAACAAACTACTTTGATACCAGACAGTGTTTAGTTCTTTACTTATCACAATAGTAATAAATGGATTCTCTCTGAACCTACTCATCACTTAACTAACTTATCATTTAAGTACTTACAAAACAAGACAAAGAGTCTTCAGCCATGCTAAATGTTGAAGGGGAACTCCACATTTTACACATTAAAGTCCGTTTACAGGTCTGGAGAAGTACTATCATGTGAAACATTTGTGTTATGCCTTTCATGGCTACAGAGTCTAACAATTTGAAAATAGAAAAACATCTGGGGGCTGTGGCGTTACAAAGAAGTGAGCTCAGCTTACCAGACCTCTGAAACCCGCTCCTCACCTCTGCTTGAGCCTCGAGGCTAATCATAACACACTCAAATCTCCAACTGGAACGCTAGTGGTTGTGTTGCATTGTGGGTAATGTAGGCACTATTGTTTTAACAAGGAAGAATAATGCATGGAATAAACAAAGACATCTTGATAATGTTATAGGAGTGCAAAGTTAAATTGTACTCTTTTAATGTCAGCATTGCAAAATGCTCACAGTGACAATGCTAACAGCATTGCAAGTGTCATATTTAACATGTTCTTAAACTAAACTAAACTAAATCTTAGTTTAGTTTGTTAGTGTGCTAACATTTGCTAATTATAACTAAACACAAAGTACACCTGAGGCTCATTAGTTTTGCAAGTATCAGGCACCAGATTACATGTCAGGGGATCACCAAAGTTATTCAGATTCATCCTGAGGGGAACAGGAATGTACCAAAGTTGATGGAAATCCATTGAATAGTTGTTTTCACTCAAAGTGACTCAAAACAAATGTCAACCTCATGGTGTCACTACACGAAAAGTCATGAATAACAACGGATAGATCGGATAGATCATCTGGGGACCAAAATACAAAATGTGGTACATCCTATGTCAGCAGGCATGTTCCTCTGGGGACCATGAACGCATGTACCGGATTACATGGCAATCCATGCAAAAGATTATTCAGCTTGATTCAATGTCACTGCCATTCCTAGAGAAAATCTATTTGTTACAATAACACAAACTAACCTGAGGCAGACTCTTCAGCAGACTAAGAGAAATGGCACCAGAGCCACATCCCACTTCCAAGCATGTATGCTGGGCGTCTGCACCAACTCCAGTCCCGGGTTTCATCTTCAGATCAGTGAGCACGAGTTCAACTAACTCCTGCACCAACACACAGAGAAAACACCGCTCTGGTCACGTGGGATTGATCGATGGGGTTTCACTGTACGTTGTACGTATGTGCGGCATGTTGTTCTCCTGTCAAACCTCGGTTTCGGGTCTTGGTATGAACACGGGAGGTCTCATCTTCAGTGTCAGATCTCTGAAGTCCCACTCCTCAATCACATACTGCACAGGCATTCTGCATCAAACACACACATTTATATATTCTCAGTGAAAACAAACATCTGAATACTTAATTATATGGAGGTGTAGATAGAAACTTTATACCTGGATAGGCGTCTAGAGCAGAGCTTCCACATCTGCTCTGTTTTTTCTGGGCTTAGAAACTCTGATAACTTCCTCTGCTCAAGACTTTCTATCTGGATACGTCATGTGAGAAATGGAAGGCATGTTGTCAAATGTTAATGTCTCAATTCAGACATTACATCAGACATGGTTGAAAGAGCTAAAAAAAAATGTCCACTCACAGTTTTAGCACCGAGCAGGTAAGCAATAATGTAAAGGCTGGAGTGTTCAGGCTCCATCACGCCTCTCTCCACGAAGTGATTCTTCCATAAATCCACCGCCTGAAGTGCTGTGATCCGGCCTGCAGGTATGGCTGGAGTGCTGCATGTACGCACCACATGGGAGCCCCAAAGTCCCTAAAAGATTAAAGTGAGTTTCTAAATAGCCATAAATACACATCCTGCATTCCAGCTGGGGTTTAACAGGAACATGTTGATTTCCCCGTTGTGTCCCTATCACCATTTAAGTGATGCCAGGAAGTCAAATTTAACAATTACAGATTAAATAAATGATGTGAGATTATTAGATATACTTTAACAATCTAATGCAATCCAGTACAAGACTGCATGATTTTCAGTAGTGTTTCTAATTATGTGTCTCTCATGAACTACCGGTAAATGGATTTCAGTAAAATGACTAAGATGAATTTGTTCGAGTGAGCCTACAAAATATTTGTTGCCCAGAGCTTCTTATCATTAAAACCAGAATACCTGTCAGCATTGACCATTGACCATTCACACACACATTCATGTTTTTTTTCATATAAACTTTTATCTTTGACGGTTGCTACTTTTGGGTTTATGACCCATTACAATACCTCTAGGTTTACTGTTAGTCGAAGTAAATAATACATTTTGAGACGTATCATTAAGTTCCATTGACTTGATGTGGGCATTTGTAATAGATTTATTAAATATAATGTATGGATTAATCAATATTGAAGAGTCAGTTGTATTTCTACAGTAATTTTGGATATACATGGAATCTTGTCCCTTTGAATATTAAAAGGGGAACAATGAATAGCTGGCTGGCATTCTTATTTCATATACACATGAGCCCCTCCTTCACTTAGTTTTATTTTGGTGACAAAGTCAGACATTGACTGCTAAGTGTGTTAGTGTGATATTTTATCCAGATTTGTAAGTTTTAATCAAATCTTGTCTTTGGTTCAGAACCAATTATAAACTGTGCCAGACCCATATTCAGTAAGACAAATTGCAATAGGCCACACACACACACACGCACACACACACGCACTCCATTCAAATGTAAATGCTATCAACCAAAATATGGCTCAATAAATAAACGAACAAAGTATGATGACTCTGCTTATATGTGCACTAGTTTGTAAGTTCTGCTATCTAGTTGCTACAAAGAATGTACCTATTAACACTCAAAGTTTAGTAATAACAGTTATTAAGTAATAATAGTAAGCATTTATTATAAATTCACACCTTTCTCTTTCACGTTTGTAATTACCGAGAGGACTCCCTGAAAACAACAACAAAAATCAACCTTTACCTTTTGTCCAACAATCCTGCACCCAAAGCTTCGGTAGCCTGCACTCAGAGATATCCTCCACATGACCAATCTAAATAAATACACCTTTTTTCATCAGTATTTATTCCATGTTAGTGTAGCCATCAGCGGTAACGTTACCCGCTGCAACCTTTTGGTATTCTGTTGTCCTAACTATATGTACACTTTCTCGGTCATGTGTACCATTTACACCTATATGGACCTATGTGGACATTAAGCTACATTTTCTGTAGCCCATGGCAAGCTAGTTGATACTGCCGATAGTATTTCCTACACATGGCGCAGCAAAACCTCTTCAACTGTTGACATGACGCAAGTCTGCACACGCTGCGCACACTGCGCAGCACTGACCCTGGTGACTACTGTTGCCTTTAAGAACTATCGGATATATAATATTTTTTAGCCCGTAGCTGCCGAAAACCCGAGCAAAGTGGTGATAGTCGCTTAACCTGGGACGTTTATAGATTGTATACGTTGAGATAATATAAATTATGTGAACAGCTGATAGCAAAGCAATGTATGCAACTGCTAGTCAATGTATAAACCTCCACTGTCCACTGTCTACGTAGTATTTACGACTTCCGTTATCTGTCTTCGTAAATAACGAGGAGCTCGTGAATGTATCAGTGTTGTTGTTCCTCACTGGAGTGCATAAATGAATCGAGTATTGGAGAGTTGTTGGATAGTTTGCTATTAGGTTGACAGCAATATTGTCAAAGTACAGTGATAGCACATTAGTGCGGACGTTGCCCAGACGTTAGAAGTGCTACATGTATTTCACAGGAGGCCACTAACTTGTTTATCAACGTTACAACGGGAAGCTAGCAGCTAGCTTCAGCTGCTAAACAGAAGGCACACACAGGAGGCTGTCATCTGAAACTGAGACCGGTTAAAGTGTGTTAAACTGAACATTTGGTGCATTATTTGGGGTGAGGTTGCTCTGAAAAACAAGGTCTATGATGGGCATGACCTCTCGAATAGAGTGTATATTCTTCAGTGAGTTTCACCCCACCCTGGGTCCGAAGATAACATATCAGGTAAGTTCAGTGCGCAAATACTATACTTTAAACAAGGGGAAAGGTAATTAAAATGACCACAACTGCACTATTAATTACTATAGCAAACATGGCTTAATTACCCATGTGATAGTAAAGTTGTAGTAATCATATCAGTTGATATCAGAAACATAAAGTACGTAGTGTAGTATATACTGTAAGTGTAGTATACGGATGTGTGTATTTGGAACACTTTTTCAAAATAGTATCCGTAGTTGCCATAAGTTTATTGACTATTTGTTTAGTGGAATTAGAGTGAGAATAATTGATCTTAGCAGGCATTCAGTCCCTCTACATATTCTTGTGGTGTTGACCGTGGAATTGAAGAGCACGTCATCTTCTTAAAGCCTGTATCTTATAGGATGCGTTATGTGACACGGTGTCCTCTATGTCCTCTCATGACAGGTCCCAGAGGAATACATTTCACGAGAGCTATTTGACACAGTTCAAGTTTACATCATCACCAAGCCAGAACTGCAAAACAAATTGATAACAGTGTATGTATAATGCTTCTTTCTCCTTGCCACAAGTATCTGTTTTTTGCCTTTGAGATCTGTGTTTTTGCCTCTGTTGGTCTTGACAGTATCAAACTATCCCGCTTGCTCTTTTTTTTAATCTTTTTTTTTTTTTTTTAGCACCGCCATGGGAAAAAAGTTAATCGGATGTCCTGTGTGTATCGAGCATAAAAAGTACAGCAGAAACGCCCTCCTGTTCAACCTCGGCCTTGTTTGTGACGCCCAAACCAACACCTGTGCCCTTGAGCCCATCGTCAAGAAGCTGTCTGGGTACCTCACAACGCTGGAGGTTGTGAATGATGCGTTTTCATAACCGTAACTTGTGACTTGATTGCTCTGCTGTTTGCATAGACGTCTCAGAGATGATCTTAAATCCTTTTGCCTTGTCGTGTTGCAGCTGGAGAGTGGCTTTATATCCAATGAGGAGAGCAAGCAGAAACTTGTACCAATTATGTCAACCTTGTTAGAAGAACTTAACGCCACAGGAGCCTGCACCTTACCCATAGGTACGTTTTACTATGTATATCTATCTCTAAAGTATTGAGCACTAAAGTTCATGGTTTGGCATCTGAAAACAACATTTTGGTGGAAACAATTGTATTTATTTTTCTCGTCTCTCTCCCTTTCTGTTCTGTGTTTGTTTTTAAGATGAGTCCAACACCATCCACCTAAAGCTGATCGAGCTGCGAAAGGACCCCCCGATTGTGCAGGAGTATGATGTGCCGGTCTTCACCCAGTGCAAAGACCATTTTATCAAATCTCAGTGGGATCTCACCACTCAACAGGTAGGCCTTGTGGCGCATATCAAGGCACGTTGTGATAAGATAAGATGTGCCAAAATTCTAAGAAGAGGAGAAATATTAGTGACTAAAGGCCTGTTATCAGCAGTACGTGAAGTGAATTGAACACTTGTTTCACATTCATTATTTCATGCATGAAAATTAGTCATTAGTGTAGGAGAAGGAGCCATTTATCTGTACAAAAATGTGTAATTGCTGGTTCAAAGTAGTGTATATAAATCATATTAATTGAGCAATTCAGGTCATAGAGTTTAGTACAATCCAATAATGTTCCACTTCATGCTTACTGCAGATCCTGCCCTATATTGATGGATTTAGACACATCCAGAAGATCTCTGCTGAAGCAGATGTAGAGCTGAATCTTGTTCGCATCGCGGTGCAGAATCTTCTGTGAGTACATTTCAGTGAAGAAAGGGCAACAAACACCAGCGGCGGCTGATGCGTTTCAAAACACCCTCATCCATTGTTTTCTGTGTGCAGTGAGCCCGAGGGTTTGTCCATACCAACACGTCATGACAAACCACTGTCTCATTTATCAGTGCTGATGACAGCCAGCAACAAATCTATTTGAATTATGGTGTGTGTGTGTGTGTGTGTGTGTGTGTGTGTGTGTGTGT